TAAAAGAGGAAAAAACTAAACCTGACAAGTAACATAATTACGCTACTGCCCTCCAAACTATCGAGCCTATTTGGCCAAGGCACACATTGAAATACCGGAAGAATTCAAATGATTACCATGTATATAGCTGGCTCAAAAACTAGAGTGAAAGAGTCGGTATAAACGAAAGAATAACCCTCACGGTACGTGGTTATTCGATTGTTTGCATAGGGGCTACTATGGTTAAATTAGACTTCCATTGGCACCCTCTGCGAACAAGAAGAAGGTGACTAGGTGTGATAACAGATGGGTAAAGATCAATATGTTTGTTAACACCTTCCTTCTTGTATACATTATTGTTCTATACATCACAATTAGCTAAGAAAGAGAAAATTCTTGGGGTATAATCTCAGAGACTAGAGGTTCCGCCAGAGGTTCGTTGGAATCTTTATGTTTTCCTCTAGAAGAGGATTTAGGAGTAGCAGACGCTTTGGCTTTAGAAGAAGATGCAGATTTGGAAGAATTTCCTTTAGAAGACGTATTTTTAGTACCCATATAACCTAGGTTATGGAGCCTACCACATCTCCTACAACTCATAATTAGAGCTATTGTATAAGGAAGGTCATCAACTATGATGGTACGACGAGAGGGAGCAGTAGATGTAGAAGGGGTTGAAGATTTGGAGGCTATTGTTAATAAGAAAGAAAGAAGTTGCACGCAGGAGAAGAGGATTGCTAAGAAGGTTTGAAGGAGGCAAAAATAAAAGAAAGTAGAATTTTTTTTAAAGGGTTAATGGTTCCGTATTTATAAGAAAAAACATCATTATAGATTGTGGAGTTGACAGAGCAAGTCGCTGCAAACCTCATAACCAATTATAGTAAGACATGCATCTCGAGCATTTAATTGGAAGAGACACAAGTCTCTTCACTTATGCAGCACGTCATAATGATCTTGGAAAGAGGCGGAAAAATATTTCCGTCATAAATAAACTCTCCACTTCTCAAATATTCAATTGACAATATTCAGATTGGTTTGTGTGATTGAACGGGGTCCCGGGGTCCCCAGGTGTGTTTCAGAGTGGTTTCGGATCAATTGGAGTTGTTTTGGAACAGCTGTTGCTGGTGTCTGGTTTCATTCTTCGCGAACACGAAGGAAGTCCCGCGTTCGCGAAAAAGAAATTTTGGGGGCTGCTGGTTTGGCCTTCGCGAACACGAGGCAGTGGACGAAAATGCGAGGCAAGGGTTGGTCAAACTTACGCGAACGCAACTCAATGCTAGCGAACGCGAAAAAGAAGGGAGCTGGACCTGGAAGTGCTTAGACTTCACGAATGCGGTTGTGGGACCGCGAAGGGGAATTTCTAGAGGCATGCAAGTTTGACCTTCGCGAACGCGAGGGGACTTCTGCGTTCGTGAAGGAGGGTCTCCTGAGCAGTGAAGTTTTATAAACGGGGGTTTTGATCATTTCTCCCATTTTTCATTTGGTTGGACGATTTATAGAGCTCTTGGATGGGAGATTTTTGTCATCTATGTCAAGGTAAGTGATTCCCACCTATTACAAGTTAAATACTTGGATATGTATGGATTAGACATGAAAATTTGTAGAAATTTTGAGATTTGAAGAAAAACCTAGAAATTGGTATTTTTGGATTTCGACCACGAATTTGGGCATGGAAGAGAATAAATTATATATTTGAGTTCGTGAGGTTATGGGTAAAGTTTATCTTCGATAATTTTCGGAATTCAGGCACGTAGATTTTATCAACTTTTCGAGCGGAGTTGGGAATTTATTTAAATCGAATCATTGTGAGTATTAGAGTATATTTTTATGGGTTTGCACATTTATTAACTAGTTCCAGAGCGTTGGGCATCGATTTGAGTTGTTGAAAAGGCTTGGGAGTCGGCTATGGAACTCCAGAGCGAGGTAAGTCTCCTTTTTAACCTTGTAAGAAGGAATTAACCCCATAGGCAAACTAGATTAATACATGCTTCTAATTGTGGGGGCTACGTACGCACGAGGTGACGAGAGTCCGTACGTAGCTACTAATTATGCCTATGTCCGGGTAGTTCTAGGCTTACACCATGATTTGCTGATGCCGTTATTTGATCCTATTATTTACTTGCCTTGAAGGAATTTAGATCAAGTATGCTTATTAAATGCCTTTAAAAGAGTTCAAATTGAGGATTTCAGGACTTGATAATTTCATTTGAATTTCATATGTTGAAATAAATTAAAGAATATTATAAAAATAATTATTTGAGAAATTCTATGTGTAACCGCATCCCAATTATATTCCGCGAGCGAGGTAAATTTCTACTACTCTTATGGGATCGGGCCATTCGCCTCGGCAGGATTTTGTACTTCACATCTTATGGGATCGGGCCGTTCGTCTCGGCAGGATTTATGTACCACACTCTCATGAGAGCGGGCCGTTCGCCTCGGCAGTATTAATAGATGCATCTATGGTTCGTGCCGTTCGACCCTCGGCAGTGCACAGTTTAAATATTATGTTGGATCGGGTCGTACGCCTCGCCATTTCCTATAACATATCCTCATGAAATCGTGCGTAATATTTGGCAAGAAGCATGTGTATCTGTGAGTTGTCCTGATTTGAATTATGACAACCTAATTGATGAGATCCACTATATCTATACATATGCTCCGGTTAAGGAGGGAATTTCTAATAGAGAGCTTGAGCTTATTGCAAAGAGGAGGATTGTACCATGTATTTATACTCGTTTATCTCGTTTATTTGTTCTGTCTCATATCTGCTTACTACTGTTGTACCTGATATTATTAGACTACTAGTAAGTATCGGAGTCGACCTCTCGTTACTACTTATTTGAGGTTAGACAGGATACTTACTGGGTACGCGTTGTTTTCGTACTCATACTACACTTGCTGTACATTTTATTGTACAGGCACATGTATGTATAGAGGCCTTGGGGGCGCAGCAGCGGGGACTTAGGTGAGCTGTATTCTATGTTACGATCCGCATCTAGCATAGTATCCTTCAGAGTAATTGTATTTTCTTTCCTGTCCAAATTTGGATTCCGCACAAATGTTGTATTTTATCTTATTTCCTAGTTGATGCTCATGCACTTGTGACATCGGGTTTTGGGGTGATTATGGGGCATTCAGTATTGAAATGGTTAAACCTTTATGATTTAATCTGTAAATTCCATTGTTATGAGAGCTAAATTAACTACTTAGTGTTGGCTTGCCTGACAGTGGTGTCCGGTACCATCTTGACCTTTAATGGATTTTGGGCAGTGACAGAATTAGTAGCATATATAATAATTATAATTTTACCATATTTATTAAAAAATTGTTAAACTATTTAAATTAAATTCAAAAGGGGATTAAAAGACAAAGGCTACAATTGCAATTTTCAAATCAAATGCAAAGTGGTCATTCTTTAAATTATTTTTGGCCCAATTACTCAAGCCCAAACAAATATATACCCTGTCCAAACATCCACATCTCTTCCCTGTTGGCAATCTAAGACACTCTTTTTGCACCAATCATGGTGCGCCACATCACCTCTCCGTAACACTCACACAAGAAACACAATGCATCTGAGCCGCAGATCCATCTAATCAACGGCTCTCGTTTATTCTTTTGATTTCAATATCCTCCCCCAGAGATCTAATCTCAACCATCCAAAACCTCTAAATCCAACGGCCACCGTTTTTCCCACTTAAATCAACTCTAAAAATCCAATTACCAAAATAATCGAAGCCGTTGATCAACAGATCCAACGGCTCATGTTCCATCCCTCGTCTTTAGTCCTAGAGACGGATCCTATCCCCCTCAAACCCTAATCATTTCAACTTCACTCTGTTGCCCTCATTTCCCTTCCTTCTCTCTTTTCTCTCATATCAATCAACCATCACTCTCAGAACCTTGCACAAATTCGTGCAAAGTCACTTGAAAACACTGTAAATCATCTCTTAAGTCCCTGCTACACCACGAATCTTGCTGCAAAAATCCAAAATCCTAAGCTCAAAGGAGAAATCATCTGATTTGCTCTCATAAGTCAAAAATCGGGCCTGAAACCACCCTTTGCCTTCTGAAATCTGATAATTTCCTTTTTCATCATTCAAATTCAAACACCCCAAATCCTGAAACCCTAGACTCAAGAATGCAACATCAAATCTCTGATTTTCCTTCGTGTTCCGTCAAATCGGAGCATGCATGGAGTATTCTCAGATTTTATTATGAGGATTCGATGTTCAGAGGTCAAACACAGAGACTTCTGGATATTGGGGTTTTAACCACTGGTCCAAAGCCTTCAACGGTCGACCCTCGTGCTCAGGTAAACTCAACCTTGTTTCCCCTATGTTTCTTTCTGATTTTTACTCATTCTTGTTGTCATCATTCACTACAACATTACACATATACAGCTACAAACTACGTCGTAGCTAAACATGAAAGTTTCCGTGGCTAAACACTTTAGCCACAATAATTTTTTTCATAGCATCCGTAGCTAGAAGTAGCGTAGCTAAAAGTTAGCTACAAACTTTAATATTTCGTGGCTACAAATTTAGTACTTAGCTACAATAATTTTATGATGTAGCTATATTAATAAAATATTTTACCACGAAAAATATATACTTATAGCTAATAATTTTATTCTTTTGCCACGATTAATCAATTTTGTAGCTATCTTCAATATTTTAGCCACAAAGGAATATTCTGTGGCAAAAGATGTTATTTATTTAGCCACAAAATTCAAATATGTAGCTGTGCTCACATATTAGATTTGTATTATAGTATTTATATTTAGCGACCAACCCATAATTTCATAGCTATAAATCGTCAAAATATCCATAATTTGATTTTTTATTATATTTTATCTGGTGACTAGATATTTATATATTTTATTTTTATTTATAAAAATTTATTTATTAGAGATAATAAATGTTTCTGACCTATGTGTTGTTATTTTCCTTTTTTTGCCTCACTAAATATTTTTACATTTTTCAAATATTCCATATCCATACATCTTTGATCAAACCATATAACACACAATAATAAACTTTGAATATCACTTTATTATACAAATTTACATCAAAAAGTTTCAAAAGCTAATTCTAAAATATGCAATTATCTGTCTAAAGTTCACTCAGTTATTCAACTCTAATCTACAAATTTTGAACGGTTCCATATCAAAAATAAAACTAAGCTCTAAGTATTTGATCTGGAGATTGAAGATATTGCCACCAAATTATCTTCTGCAATCAACGATAAAGTAATTTCACTCTTTGAATCAAGATTGATCTTTGATATGCTTGCATCAACAGATTAAAATGTACCCTGCAAATTCAAAAGAAACAAAAATTAGCATTAAAGAATGAGCGAACCATTAATACAAATATGCAAATTTGATTTGTAAAAATACAAAATGAAAGTTCAAAGAGAGAAAAATTATGTCTAGATAATTCTATTACAAGAATTTTTAGCATATAACAAGAGGAAAAAATCTAAAGCAACAAGATAAGAAAACAAGCCTGAATACTTTTCTATAAACTTTTGAAAGGATTTTCATCTAATTTTTATTTGTAATGTCTTTTCGACGAACTGTGGCTCCTCCCAACATTACATTATAATCTTGAAGGTTCCGCTCAATACCTATTACAATACTGCACAATATCTATCAAATTGTTATAATATAAATCCAAAATTTCAAATCAAGTAGGTGTATGGAATTGAAAAATTCTAAGATGTAAATGCATAACATACCTGGAAAGAGAAAAGGCGCCGGACTATCTAGCCAATGATTCCGTTGGTTTGCTCTATACATGTGAAGAGAGAAATTGTTGTTGAAGAAGAAAATGAGAAAATGAAAGAAATGGGGAGGCGGCTGGGAAGAGAACGCAGGGGAGGCGGCTAGGAAGGGGGTGACGCACAAAAGTGAGGTTTAAGGGCTTTTATTAGGTTGGGGATTTTGGTTTGGGCCAATTGGCCTTTATGTTTTTTTTCTTTTTGTTAATGTATTATTTGCTCCCTTTTATTTCTTATTTAATATAAATACCATAAATGAGAGAAATATAAGTACTAACAAATATAAGTAAGTAAGAAAATTATCTAGCAAAAATATAAAAGATTAAATACATAATTTACACTAAGTAAAATACATGAAATAAAGATATTCTACAATATATTATATTCTTTACAATTTTTTTCATCCTATACGATATTGTTAGTTTTGTTATTTACTCTTGTTTCAATTATATTAACTTCTTCATTTTAGTGTTTAATTAGAGTATGATAGTTATCAAGTTATTAAAATAGTATTAGACAATTAAATATACAACTTTTCTATTTATCTAACTTTAGTGTAATTAGATCAATGTAAATAAATACAAATATATTGTCTAAATTTGACATTGCTTATTCAAATCTAATGAAAATTAACTACATGTTTATTAAAATTGTATAGAAAATTACAAGTATAATTTATTTAATATGAATTATGATATACTCTACTAATTAGTTTTGTTATATACTCCTATATCAACCTATTAAAATATTAATTTTTTGAATTATTTTGAAGTGAAACTTAATAATATCGAATTATGTAAACATTATAAAGTATCAAATAATAGTCACCCACAAGAGAAACATGATTTTCTTCATGTATCTTTATTATGTTTAATTCTCAATTATTATATTCAATGTATAGTTTAATTTATGACAATTAGAAACTTATTAAGATAGTAAATAATTATCACACACACGCGCGTGCGCGCGCACACACACACACACATATATATATATATATATATAT